AGTCATTTTTTAAAGAGCTCATATTTCCTTATTCCTTTAATTATCTAAGATAATAGTTAGTAAATTTCTTATAAATCTATAATTTTAAAATCTAATATAGCTTATTGAATTTTCAATGAAGTTGATTTTTTATTTCTTTTCATTAAAGTTTGAAATAAAATTCTAATATTTGTACAACGCTGTTAAAAGCAAACAAAAGAAGACCTCATTTGTTTCTACTTCAATTTTTCGTGTCTCGATATTTTTGTCGTCACTAGAGATTAGTGTAAGTTTGAAACTTAAAAATAATTAAACTACATATCATGCGATTTGATTTTTAAAATTTTAGAACATTTATTCATAAAAAAATATTAATAGTACATAGTTCGATTTTGAATTTTTTAGTGCGTCCATTTATCAAAAAAAAATTTGCTTATATAATTCTTGGACACCCTTCGTGAAATTTCTAGCTACGCCACTGTGTATAACTAATACCCACATAACTTATTCCACCTTCTACCCTGCATAACTTTATACATAGATTCCCTCATAAGTTATGTTGGTATTAATTATGTAGGACTACAAAAAATGCAACCAAACACCGTATAAATTAATACATGAATAACTTTTATACAACATGTAAATTCTTACCAACCAAACATGGTATAAGTTATGTTGACTTTTATACCTAATACAAAACTTCTACCAAACACAGTAAAGCTAATGCAACTTTTTATACATGAATAAGATGTCTCTTATACAGTAACAAACGGCCCCTTAGTCCATCTTTCTATCAATCCATTTCTAAAGTCTTTCATATTTGGTTTGTGGGATGAGATAGGATGAAAGAACTTTTGTAATAAGGTTGTGTTTTTGATAAACTTATAAATTGATTAAACTAGTTTAAAAGTAGTTTTTGGTTTATTTTGTTTTTAGTAGACCAAAATTGCTTATGATATGAAAATTGCTTATCAACATTCTTTTACCAACCGTTTATTATCAATTTCAATACTCATATAAAAATACGTAAGTACTTATTTTTAAAATCAGTTTCATCATTTAAAAATCTAGATTACCGATCCTCCTCTTGCTACCTCATTTCTTCTTATTTTCTCATTTATTTTGAGTTGAGCTAATTTGGGAACAGATTTTGGTTTTAAACTACCAGTGCTGCTCTCTCTTGCTTATACAATGTTTGACTGATTGGTAAAATAAAAAAGGCTCATCTTCTCCTAATTAAACTATTTATATAACAATGTAAGATTAGCAACAGAAATATCTCAAATTGTTTTATTCCAAATAAAATGGGAAATCCACACACACAGAAATATCATAGATGCCTTATCATGTCTATTTTTTTTAAAACGGGGAGGAGATTACAAGGTAGAGAATCAAACCCTCACAATTCATGTCAAGTTTTCTTGTTTTATGAGTGATTTCCTATTTGATAGTCCAAATGAGTTTTTTTTCCAGATGCAATAGATTTTCAAACTTTTCCAGGATTGGAAACAGAAGCATGGGAAAAGTTACAATCATGAAAAAGAAGAAAAGATGAGATTAGAGATTTTTTTAAAAGTAATGTGAATGCAATTGTGATTCATAAATTATTATACATAGATAACCAAAGGTTGTTTTTACATTTTTCTTTTATATATTTTTATACAATATTTACTTGACAACAAGAACCAGATTAACACTAAGAGTTGCCAATTGGGATGATAAAAGTTATAATAACTTAGATAAGTTGTTTCAGCGCATCACAGCAAACTGATTCCTCTTCCATTGGAAAGTTTGGTCCATTTCTTCTATTCCCTTAGTACCACTACTCCATGGTAGCTTGAGCTTGGCTATTGTTCTCTTCCTTGCAGCAACTCCAATTTTGTCTCCATAATCCTGCAAAAAGGGAAACAAAACTTTATCTTATTACATTAGGAGAAAGAGGAAGGCACAGGGGTGTGAGAATTTGACTCACACCTATCAAGTGTATGTGTGAAAGACCTCACGAGTACCACTAGACTATAAGTCTCGGTGGTATGAAGAAGCTATTGAAGATTTAAGTCATACCTTGTGGCAGAGGCCTTGTAAAACATCACAATATGGGAAGTCTTGAGGGCAGCATAATCTTGAATTCTCACAGCAAACACCATTTTCAATAGGACAGCATCCGTGAACTAAGCACTTGCCAAAGAAATCTAAGCCGCAGCAGCATGTTTGACCTTCTGGACAGTAAAATAAGCCGTCTTCGCATATATTTGGTTTTGGAGAAGGTGGTGGAGGAACCAGAGGGGATGGTGGAGTGGAAGACGATTCTTTCATGGGATAAGAAGCCAATGAATTAATAGCACATATCCCATATGGCAAACTAGTATTCCTTTTTATATATGCATATCCCTCCATACCCCAAAACTTTCCCCATGAATTCTTGATAATCCAATAGTCAACTCCTCCTTCAGAACCGTATCCTACAATTAGTACTGCATGAGATAAGTCATCTGGATTACTAGAGCATTCTCCATCATAGATTCCCTGCATTAAACCCCAAAAACAGAGAAAGGCCAAGAGCTTAATATTGGGATTGTTGAAAGAAGACAGAAGTAACAATAAGAATGACACAATATATATGAGTTACCCCTGCATATAGCTGAAAATCAAGGCCTTTTCCATCTATGCCTACACTAACGGGTTGTCTAGCAACAGCACAAAGTAGGGCACCTTCTTCTTGTGCAACATCTTGGTATCCATCAATTGTTACAGCCTTCTTGTTCAACTGTTGAGCAAAAATGATCAACATTTTCTCCTAAAAATGAAAAAGCTAAAAGAAACAAAGATGTATAGGAAATTGCAGCCATCACATGCCTTGTTGTAACTGCAAGTGCCTCGAGATTCGGTGTATGGATAATCAGCTGCTGAATCAATGCCCCTATTGTTGATCACAAATTTAAAAGCAGGGTCCATAAGTCCACCTTCACACCCTTTATTGGCGGTGTCACAGTTGACAAGTTCTTGAGTTGAAAGGCTAATAAGTTCACCAGTGACTAATGCATTTATTCCTTCTATAGCTCCACATGCAGAAAATGCCCAACAACATCCTGCATTTGTAATGCAGAGAATCAAAGATATTTGCAGAAGGCGCATATTTTCAGGCTCACTGATATCCCAAGACATCATTGGTTCAGCTGCCTAATTTGGGAGTACTCTCGGAAGCTTTGGTACTATACCATCCTTCTACTAGGTAATCACTAGATCAACAAAGTGCTTATAATGGAAGTGAAGTAGCAAAAAATTGAAGGTTGTACTCCTGACTTTTACTCATTCTTTCCCATTAAATAGGCATCAACAAATTGGGAACTAAAGATCTATGAACTAACTGATGCTACTGTTGTGCCTCTCTTTTGTTCAAAACAAGACTTCCATGTATAATATCGAGTTTAAGTTGTATGCAGTGACACCGTAAAAGATCTTTACACAATGATATGTCACTTATAAGGTAATTACAAGTAAATGTCCATGATATGCCTTAAACCATTATACGCTAAAAATCGAGAATTGTGAAAGACTGAATTTAATATGCAGAAGAGATTAGCACAGCTTACCACATGCTCCTTGGTTCTTAACCTCAGTGACAACCCCATGTTTCCTCCAATCCTTAGAAGGAGGAGCAACACAAGAATTTGCAGAAATAACGGTCTTGTTCTGCTGGTTGAAAGGCATCTTAATCTTTGAAGTATGGACTTGGCTAAACTCTTCATTGCTCATATCAGCAAAATTGTTCAAACCAACTAAATGGTCTGATTCTGACCTCCTCTTTGAGTTCTTGTCCACTATATACTTCACATTCCTTTTAAAATTCTCCAACCTCATTTCTTCCTCTTTCTCATTCTTGTAAATTTTCCCATGCTTCTGTTTCCATTCTTGGAAAAGTTGGAAAACTCTTTCTTCTGAAAGCAACTCTTGCGGCTTGTCTATTAATTCTGGAAAATCAGTAGTAAAAGCAGAAATTTGAGATGATAATGCTGCTAAGATCAAGAAAAGTGGGAAACTAAGAAGAAGAAAAAGGTGGAATTTTTGTGTATTTCCCATATTTTATTTTAGTAACACAATCCAATAAATGACTTTGAGATTCTTCTGTTATATATAGCTTTTGAAAAGATGACCCTTATGGTCATGAATAAGTTAGGAAGAGGAACAAGCCTACAAACTTTTATCTGTTAATTATTTGATTGAACAATAATGTAACGATATTTTTTAAAAGGCTAGTGAGTGATATTTTCAGTGCACTTGCTCCTAAAACTTTATCCTGTAGTAAAGATACTAATTAGTTTATTGGATATTTATTTCTAAGAGACTGTGATAGATGTTTTTTTTATCTTTACTCCAAAACATTTCTCATCCACCCCTTATTATCCAATTATCAGAAACTCGATAGGATATTAAGCCAAGCTGATAAAATCATCAATCTTCTGTCTAAATTCCAATATTGATATATGAATTTACTGAAATATAATTCACTGGACCCCAATTTGGAATTTTGTAGTATTTGTAAGTTTAGTGGTGCCAGTTTTTTGGGGCCCATTACCACTAGAAATGAATAGCATACTATCCTTTCTGGATTTTATGCAGTTTGAGAAATATTTGGTGTAAGAATTATGTATTAGCCTATTTAAAACGTAGTAAAGCAATTTTACTTATAGCAGCAAACACAGTTAATCTCTCTCTCAACTAACGCAGTATTAAGAAGGAAACATAATTTAGTTACTGCAACAAATTTAAATTACAAAATAGTAATAAATTTGTGACCGTTCAAGTTATGACATATAAAGTGAAACAGAGAGTAGTAATTTTAACTAGTTTATGGCCTGTCCTCCATAAGAGTAAGCATGTTTTTTGTGTTGCATCATCACACAAAGATATTTATTCTACTTCAAAAGATTAAAGTGATAATAGGCAACACAAAGTACAAGTGACAAGTTTGAGGGGTATTTATGTCTTTTTCCTTGTTTTTGTGGTTAAGAAATGATTCTTTCAATGCATTGCATCAATAAAAGGAAATTGCCCTTCTTTAGCATCCTGACCGAAAGCTAAGTCATGTAAAATGAATGTTACTCATTTTCTCTTTCTAAACTTAAGTGATTTTAATTTCTAGATTGTATGGTAAATTTATAAGCTAATAAATTTATGTCCACAATATTACATACTTTAGTATTTCTTCTTCTTTTCAAGTTATGACAACATGATATTTTGATGGTAATAACATTTCAAGCTTTATTGCACAACAATAGACAAGTTCAAACCTAAAGATAATTAAGATATAGAATAAAGCAAGTGTATGATTAAAACATATTTTTATTTGTCCTACTAGTTATTAATAAAAATGGAGAACATTATCCATAATATATCAGTAAGCTAAAGACTAAAATCAATTATAAAGCTTGTAGGCTTGTTGTATTTTGTTTGAAGAGTAATCGGTCCCTTTTTTCGTTTTCTCATATAAAGTCCATGATTTTAGTTTTATGGATTAGTATGAGAAAACGAAAAAGAGGGATCGATTTGTCTTCAAACAAAAAAATAAATTACGATAAATCAACAAGCTTTATGATCCATTTCAGTCTTTGGCTTATTGATATGTTGTGGATAGTGCTCTCCGTTTTCATTAATAATTAGTAGAACAAACAAAAGATGCTCTAATTATATACTTGCATTGGTATCTTGATTATCTTTAGGTTTGAACTTGTCTACTATGAAACAAAGTTTGAAATGTCAGTTAGTGAGTTATTACTATCATTTTGTCACTAAAAATTATAAAAAGAAGAAGAATTATTAAAGTACGTAATATTGTGGACATAACATATGTACTTTCCTATATCTATTTTTTTTTTCATCTTTTAGCTTATACATTTACTATTTCTACAAAACCAAAATTGTTATTGAAACCATCTCTAAGTTCAGAAAAAGAAAAACGAAAAAGTTTTAAAGTATAGATCATAAATTACCTTCACTACCAGATGCTAAAGAAGGGGACGTTCCTCTTCTGCAACAGCTATATAGTTGAAAATCAAGGATGCTCCCGTTGATGTCCACACTACCAAGTTTTAGAGCAACAACACAAATAAGGGCACTTTCCTCTTCTGCAACTTCTTGGTATCAATCAATTGTTACAACCTTGTGGTGGTTCACCTGTTGAGGAAGATATTTGAACAATGACCACGTTATTAAAGGAAAATATTTGAAAAATGGATAGAAGACATGGTCATCACATGCCTTGTTGTAATTGCAACTGCCTTGAGAAGCAGTGTTTAGATACAGAAGCTGAATCAATGGTGCCAGCGTTGATCACCCATTCAAAAGCAGGGTTCATAAGGCCACCTTGATCACGGTCATTATTGTATTGAATTATCACAATCAATAAGTTCTTGAGCAGAAAGGCTAATAAGTTCACAATCTTCCAGTCAAATCAGAAAGTCCTTCAACAGAACAAAGTCCATTATGTTGACATAATCCTACAATGCACGAATTGTTATGGAAGTGCAAAAGGAGAGACGGTAAGAAATACTTATGTGCAATTTTAATGTTCTCTAAGATCAGGAAAAATGAAGAAGATAGGAGATACTACAAGGATAGAAGAAAAGTATTGATGATAAGACAGTAGATTCTACAAGTAGTGTTATACGCACATTATATAAGGGCAAACTTGGATTCACCTACCTGGCAATACCAATGTACCATTCACGGTCATGAGCTGCTTTAACACATAATCACTGCAAAGATCTACACTAATATCCAGACAACAGCAGTTACCTCATAAGCAAGTTTTTAATTCACTCTTCTGGTTACATCTTGCAGAATTCCATTCCAGCTCTATATGCGTTCTGTTGCAGATGCAAAGGATTTTCCAGACATTGGAGTGATTTTCTCATCTGCCATACAGTCCTGCAAAGCCACCTTGCAGCCCTAAACCAGAAGTGATTTTGTGAATGCATGTTTGGCGCTTTAACATACATGCTTATGGCTCAATTATCTGAGTCAAGACAAAATGATGTCATCGCAGGCATATGGCCCATATCCATCATCTGAGCAGTTAAAGTGAACAGCATGTTAAAGTTCTCCACTGACTGCACTGAAGTATCACCACAAAGAAAAACAAGCAACTGATTCCTATCCTCAACCCAGCTGCATCCTGGTAGTCTGCCTGCTCCACTCTTTTTTATTGTTTCCCGAACTCTCTCCACATCACCCCATCTTCCTAGCTCAGCATACATGTTTGATAAGACAACCAGATTTGTCGATGTATGAGGTTCAAGTTCAAGAAGCTTCTCAATAGCACAGCCAGCAATCTTTATATTGTTATGCATGCGACAAGCCCCAAATAGGGCACCCCACATTTCTACAGTGACATTTTTTTTCATATCCTTTATTAGAAGGAAAGCTTCTTCTAACCTCCCTGCTCGCCCAAGTAAGTCAACCATGCAAGCATAACGTTCACATGAAGGAGTAATAGAATACTTTCTGGTCATGTGCTCAAACAAATTTGCACCAGCATCACTCAAGCCAGCATGCTTACATGCAGATAAAACACTAACAAATGTGAGTTCATCAGGAACGACTTCTTTATCTTCCATTTCTTGAAAAAGTTTGACAGCCTCCTGCCCATATCCATTTAAAGCATAGCCAGCAAGCAAGGAATTCCAGGATATAACATCAGCATTGTCAACATCTTCAAACATTTTTTCTGCATCAAAGATCTTTCCACACTTCGCATACATAATGATTAAAGCATTACAAACTGATAAATTTTTCACATAACCGGTTTTTATAGCCGCTTGATGAAGTTGCTTGCCGATATGCTCAGCTGCAAGATTGGAACAGGAACTTAATGTTGAAGCAAACGTAGAATGATCTGGTTTCTTGCCATCACGTGTCATCGTGATGAAATATTTAAGTGCATCTACATAAAAACCATTTTGGGTATAACCTGAAATTAGAGAATTCCAAGAAATTACATTTCTTTCCCCCATATTCTCAAAGATCTCAAGTGCTTTTTCCATTTGTCCCACTTGAGCATAACCTGCTATCATTGTATTCCAAACAACTATGCTCTTTGGTTCCATCTTTTCAAACAGACCAAAAGCTTCATCAATCCGTCCACATTGAGCATAGCCTACAATCATTGTATTCCAACAAACAACATCACGAGTAGCAGTTCGATCAAATACCCAACGAGCTTTATCCATCATGTTGTTTTGGATGTACCCTGAAATCATTGCTGTTCGTGCACCAACATTTCTGTATGGCATTTGATCCAACAAATCCCTTGCTTCTTTTAGCTTTCCAGCACGACAATAACCATCAATCATTGTTGTATAAGCCACGGCACTTCTCTGAGACATTCTATTAAATAATGAAGCAGCCATGTCAATTTTTCCATTCTGGACATATGCAGCTAACATGGCATTCCAAGTAACCTCATTTTTCTCCGGTATTTGGTCAAAAATCATTTCAGCCTCCAATATCATCCCATATCGTGCAAATCCACTCAGCATTGTCACCCATGAAACAACATTTGGACTAGGAATCTTAGCAAAAACCTCTTTAGCAGAATCCAAATCCCCAACCTCAATAAACCCACCCAATAATAAATTCCAAGAAATGACGTCCTTCTCTTCAATATCCTCAAAAAATTTCAATCCAAATTGCATTTCCCCATTCTGGGTATATCCCAAAAGCATCGAATTCCATGAAACTAAATTCTTAGCCGGCATACCATCAAACATTTTCCTAGCATCATCTAACCTTCCAGCTTTTGCATACCCTGTAATCATTGCATTCCAGCAAGCTATATTACTTTTATCAGGAAGCAACTCAAACACATCTCTAGCCTTTTCAAGCTCCCCACTGCGCGCGTAACAAGTTATCATCAATGCATAAGTAAAATGGTCTCTCTGAGGCATTTTATCGAACAGTTCACATGCTTTCTCAACTTGACCATTAAGCAAATACCCATTAATCATTGTATTCCAAGAGATTAAATTTTTAAACAACATTTTGTCGAACAGCTTGCGTGCATGGATGATTCTACCATTCTTGGCATATGCAGAAATCATAGAATTGTAGGTGACAGTATTAGGGTGTGTGATTCTGTTGAACACTCTGATGGCTTCATCTATTTGTCCCCTTTTCCCTAACTGTGTTATCTTCAGATTTTGCTGGATGATTGTTCTTCCTCTACTTAAACTTGCCATTCAAATATATTATTATCTTCGGAATTGTACTGCGCCTTATAACGAATTTGCCCAGCACTTCCTGACCTAAAAAAGAGAGCCAAGTATTACCGAATTTAAAATTGGGGGCGAGTTATTTGATTATGAGCTTGACATGTGTTCGAGTATAACAGATGAAATTTTTGTAACTAGGGAGATGGAGCAAAAATATACTTAAATACAAAAAAATTGTTTATACATGCCTTAAAACACAACACGATATGTTTAAAATTACAAAGATCCGAAAGATAACCTTGACATATTATACACACTGGGATTGTTTTTTAAAAGAAAAATGTGGGGAAGGGGAAATGGGCTAATAAGGTGGTAAATTCAAAGAGTCAACCAACTGAGATACTAAGATTCTCGAAAGTCTAGTGTTTTTTATTAAGAAATGTTGGTTTCAACGCATTGCAGCAACATGATTTCTCTTCCATTTCAGAGTTTGGCTCATCTCCTCTATTGCTTCAGTGTTAGTTCTCCATGGTAACTTGTACTTGGCCATTTTTCTCTTCCTTGCTTCCACTCCAATTTTGTCTCCATGATCCTGCAAAAAAAAGGAAAGAAATAATCAAACAAATCATAATTTATTTAAATTTCTAAAGATTTGTTCTATCTGTATTATTTGGGACCTTTTTCTATCACATTGAATATTTAATCTTTGGTAGAAAGCGTTTTGCTCTGATATATTTGGTGTAGGAAGCGATAAGCGATTAGTTGGACCGGTTGATTTCAGGATGTTTAAAGCAAAGCGAAAATTATTTACTCTTTGATTTATCCAAAGTGAGTTATTTTAGGCATTGTACTATTTTCTGATGGTATCTAATAATTGAGCAAAATTTTGCAACCTTAAATATCTTTCAAACCCTTTTGCCTTGCTTTTAGTCTGTAAAGATTACTCCTAGTACCTTGTTGATGATGACAAATCTAATCTATTTAGCATGGTACCTCCAACTGCCGCAAATCGCAATAATTTGGTGTAAAACTTTATTATGTGACTCAACATGGATTTAATGAGAATCTTAAGAGTGATCTAGCTTAAGAGTTGTAACATCAAATTCCCTTGCATCATACATATCTCTCATTTATGTAGCTTCAAATTACTCAGAAACCATTTGAAAACCAAATGTTGGATTTTTTTTTCCTTAAGAAATTGTTACAGGAGAAGTCATACCTTGAGGCAGAGACCAGCATAAACATCACAAATGGGATAGTCCGCTGGGCAGCAATAGTTTGATCCATCACAACAAACACCGTTCTCATAGGGGCAGCAGCCCTGCTCTAAGCACATGCCAGAGAACTCTAACTCACAACAACATGTTTGGTCTCCTGGACAGTAACTGAAATCTCCACATTCACTTGGTTTTGGAGTAGGCGGGGGAGGTGGTGGAATGGCTGGAGACGGATAAGGAGATGGTGATGATTCTTTCGTTGGATATGAAGCCAATGAATTAATGGCACAAATCCCATATGGCAAATTAGTGTTCCTTCTTATATATCCATACCCTTCCATTCCCCACTCTGTACCCCATGAGTTCTTGATAATCCAATAGTCATCATGTCCATCAGAACCATATCCAACTATTAGTACTCCGTGGGATACGTTATTTGGATCATCAGAGCATTCTCCATCATAGATTCCCTGAATTGACACCAAAACAGAATAGAAACAAAAAATCACATCATTTTTGGGATTACTGACATGTGAATATGGAATAATAGAAAATAGTTACCCCTTGGTATAGTTGAAAATCAGGGCTGCTTCCGTCAATGGCCACACTAACAGGTTGTTGAGCAGCAGCACAAAGAAGGGCACTTTCCTCCTTTGGAACATCTCGGTATCCATCAATTGTTACAACCTTATGGTTCACCTATTGAGGAAAATATTTGAAGAATGATCAAGTTTTGAAAAAGGGAAAAATATTTGGAAACTGGATAGAAGACTTGGATGTGAAATTGATCATCACATGCCTTGCTGTAATTGCAATGACCTTGAGAATGGGCAGTGTATGGATAATCAGCTGCTGAATCAATGCCGCTGTTGTTTATCACCCATTCAAAAGCAGGGTCCATAAGTCCACCTTTACAGCCACTATTATGTGAAGTATCACAATCAATAAGTTCTTGTTCAGAAAGGCTAATAAGTTCACCAGCAACTATTGCATTTATTCCCTCCATTGCTCCAGACGCCGAGAATGCCCAACAAGCTCCTGCAAAAGTTTTGCTTAGATCAAATATATTACTCTAATGATGTACACAAGTGCATATGCCATCTTATTGCTCCATTAGTGATAGAGTTTCGGACCTTTTAGTACTATTGACTTGTAATTTGAGCCAACAAAAAGTAGTAAGACTGTAATTTAGACCAATTTGCAGATTCAACTCATTTAATTTCTTTTATTTGGATTTCTTAGTGCTTGATGCAAAGACAACAAGCTACCTAGAAGTAAAACATGTATTTAGTGTAAACCAATACTATAAATATATAAAAACACAATGAAATATGCCTAAATACAACATCAAGCAATCATCTACAGAGGAGAGTCATACTTAAAGATTAAATAAGTACCCCCACCGTTTCAATCTATCCGTCTTACTTTCCTTTTTATCCGTTCCAAAAAAATCTACTAAAAACAAGCTATAGCAACATGAACTGACAATGGTAAGAGAAGACAAGTGTAAAGTTACCACATTCTCCTTGGTCCTTGACCTTAGTGACAGCTCCATGTTTCCTCCAGTCCATTGAAGGAGGAGCATCACAAGAAAATGGAGTTGGTTTTTTTCCGACTTTCTTCATCTGAATAGTCTTTCTCTTGTTAAAGGGCATCGTAATCTTGGAAGTATGAACTTGTCTAAACTCTTCATTGCTCATATCAGCAAATTTTGTCAAACCAACCAAATAGTCTGAATCTGATTTCCTCTTGGAGTTCTTTTCCACTATATACTTCACATTCCTTTTAAAATTCTCCAACTTCACTTCTTCCTCTTTCTCTTTCTTGTAAACTTTCCCATGCTTCTGTTTCCATTCTTGAAAGAGTTGGAACACTCTTTCTTCTGAAAGAGGCTCAGTTGGTCTATCTAGCATTGGAAAATCAGTAGTAAAAGAAGAAACTTGAGATGATAATGCAACAAAGATCAAGAAAAGTGGGAAAAGGAAAAGGAAGAGAGGAGGACTCTGTTTGCTTCTCATTTTTCAGTTACACTAAACAGTTATTGACTTTGTGATCATTCTAGTCCTAATTTCATTGTTTTATAGCTTTAGCAAAAGAGTTTAAGTTACGTATACGGACGGATAGTGTAAATAGTTTTTTCACTATCAGGTTACATTTATTTGTTGTAACACGTAAATACATCTTATTGTCAAGATTTTACATCCCACATTTTGAGGAGACATACTTATATAGATATCTTTAGGTGACCTGATAGTAAAAAAAAATATTTACACTTAAATAATAGCCTACGCGATTCCAATATGCAAGCTTTTTTCAGCTATATATGGTTTAAAGTGATGAATGAGGAAGGGTAGAGTGGTAGGTGTGGGTATCGGGTATGTAAGACACATTTTCTGGTATGTAACATGTGATAATGTATGGGTGGCAAAACAGAGATTGTTTTTTTCTTTAGCTCAATTGGGCCAATAAAGCAGGGAATACCATGGCAAAAATATATCACTAGTAAAGAAATAATTTCTCAAAATAAAGTCTTTTGGTGTATTGGAACAAGTAATGTTTGCAGCTATAGATTAAGACAGGAAAATTGACTTATATATGCAGTAGCATTTGCAAGGGAACAACTGATTAAGGCAGGAAATTGACATATTACACTGTAATACGGTTGTCCAGAAAAGTTGTGAGGGTAGTTGTATCGTAAACTCGAAAAAAAAAAATCACGTTGAGCTATATATTGGTAGGTTCTAAATTATTCAATCAATCGCCAATTTGTGAAGGACAAGTGCACTTAATCTTGAGACCAAAGGATAAAAATAAGTGATTAAAATTGAGTGAGTCTCTGCATATTAAAAAGATGGGTAAATTTTGATAGGTGAACCATAATAAATAGTGTCAATGGTGCCATGTGATATTGATGCTATATAGATTTCCCAAACAAGTCAAAAAGACAGCAGAATTGTCTAAGGAACTGTGCTTATAGTTTCAGTTACGCATTTGATTCATCAAAATACTTGGCATTAGAACCAGAACGAGAACCAAATATATTCTTAAAAACGCTAAAAGGCACGATAAGAATGTCGAAAAACTCATTAGTTTGTCCCATCGTATCTGCAACCAAATTGCAAAAAGCTCAATCTCTGCACCTTCAGTGCTTCTATGTTGTTTGTTAAACACAAATATCACGCCTTTGGGATTTTTGGAAGATCTGCACATTTGATAAGAGCATGAATATATGTTCCAACATGCATAGCTAGATGAGAGAAAGGGTTTGATTATAATAAAGTTAGTTAAGGAGTTATACCTTATGAGCACCATTCTCTGGCATTTTGAAACATGCGCAACCAGGGGCTTGGGCCTTTCTTCTCCACATCCCAATTTTTAGGATACCATGGGTACTGCCACATCAAGAAACAGCGTTCTGGATGAGGCATCATTGCGAGATGTCTACCATCTGGAGAACAAATTGCAGCTACACCCAAAGGAGAACCATTAGGATTGAAAGGATATACTTCGGTTGGTGTGCCATCATCATCGCAATACTTCACTGGCGCCAAGTTGGAGCCAAGAATATGATTGAAAATACTATCATCAGGGAAATAAGCTCTTCCTTCACCATGAGCAGCCCAAACACCTAATGTACTACCTTCCATACCTTTGAACATTATGGCTGGTGTTTCTTCTATTGTCACATTCGTGAAGCGACATTCAAACCTTCCAGACTCATTATGTATAAACCTCGGCTGTGATGGATCCCCTCCGGCACCAAAAACACCTCCTACTTGGGGCCCTGGCACCCAACCCAATAGAGCCATAAGTTGGCACCCATTGCAAACTCCTAGGCTGAAAGTGTCCGGACGGTTATAAAATGCCTGAAATTGGTTTAGAAGAGGCTGATTAAAGCGAATGGACGCTCCCCAGCCTTTGGCAGAATCAAGTACATCAGCATAACTAAAACCTCCAACAAACACAATTCCTCTAAATTCATCCAGTGTGATGACTCCATTGAGAAGGTCTGACATTGCAACATCCCATGGTTCAAATCCAGCAGCAGAAAAAGCTGCAGACATTTCTCTATCACCATTGCTGCCTTCCTCCCGGATAACTGCAACCTTTGGCTTTGAAATGGCAGTCATATACTTATCATCAGTAAATGTTGGCGTGAAAGATAGTTTCCAGGATGGTTCATGCCGATTTTTTAACCCTTCTTTTTCTAATTCTACACATGAATCCAGTCTTTGGAACTTTTCCAGTTGAAAGCTAGTCTCTTCCCACATATCCCTGAGAACAGAAGTTTCCTCATCCAAATGTGTAACCCCATCAACCTTCAATTCAACTATCGGAGATGAAGTAACTTGACCAATGATGTCAGCAGAAACATCACCATGGTGGAGCTTTTCCAGAACTAAATCCACGTTTTTCTTGCTAACTTCAATGAGAAGGCCAAGCTCCTCCGCAAAAAGTGTTTCGGGTATAGTGCTCCCAGAAGATGTTAAATCCAAACGAATGCCACAGTTCCCTGCAAATGCCATTTCAAGGGCATTCACTATGAGTCCCCCATCACTGATATCATGACCCGCAGAGATCAGTTCATCAGAGATTAGGTTCTGAACCTCATTAAAAACAGTTTTAAGATAAGAGACATCATCCAAATCAGGACTTTCATCTCCAATTTGATCAAACACCTGGGCAAGAGCAGATCCACCGAGTCGTCGTTTTCCTCTGGCCAAGTCAATATGAAGCAGCACACCATCATCTCCAAGCTTCAAGTCTGGAGTAACTGTCTTTGTTATATCAGGGCACGTCACATAGGTACTGATGACTAGATTCCCTGGAGCTTTAACAACTTCCTCCGATGAGTGGGCTGCCATGGAAAGACTATCTTTCCCCCCATCAATTGCAATCCCAAGTTCAATCATAGCTTCAAAAAGAGCAATAGCAGCATCATACATTGCAGCTCCTTCACCATCTAATTTTGCAGCATACATCCAATTCCCACTTGCTTTAACATCAGAAAGAGATGTAACCTTCGCCCAAACAAGATTTGTGAGTGCTTCTCCGACAGCTAGCCTTGCCATTGCTTTTGAATCCAAGAGACCTTTTATTGGCTGCTCTCCAATTGAGCATGCACCTCCAGTCAAGTCTGTATAAGTTTGAGCTATGACAGCCACATCAGCAAGAGTAATCTGCAAGGGACCCACAGTTTGCTGCTGTGCCACAAGACCAGTGACACACCTGTCAACTTTAGTGGTCAAGAATCTTTTCGAACAAACAGAAGGAAGCCTCAGGACCCTCTTCAATGAATCTAAAACTGTTGTTGCAGGAGCAATATCAAGTGGTTCACGCAGATTTTTCATGCGATTGAATTCAAATGTCTTTTTAGGCATATCACCAAGCACCTTCTCAAGCTCAAGATCCACTGCAGGTGGAGGAGGAGGCAGTCCACTAGACTTGCATTTTTCAGTTGCCACACTATCAACCAGAACAATACGGCCCTCACCATTAATTGTTCCAATAACAGCCATTGAAAGTCTTTCCCTTGAACAGATAGCTTGCAAAAGATCGCGGCTTTCAGGCTTCACCAGTATGGCATCTTGCTCCTGATATTCTGCACCCCAAATTTCCAGAACAGACATTGTGTGATCGCCAACTACAATTGCCCTTATATCAATTTTGGCACCCTGTGGGTGTATTATCTCCTTCACGACATTACAGTTTCCACCGGCACCCTGATCATGAATGCTTATGATCGGGTTGCTGTCACCCATTTCGATGCAAGCACGGACAACCCGATATAACTTTTGTGCCATCTCAGCATCTCCACGCTGCACGGCATTGAAGTCAAGCTCAGCATCATTCTGTCCACTGACCATGCTGGATGCAGCACCACCTCCCATTCCAATACGATATGCTGGTCCCCCGATCTTAACTACCAACATACCAATCTCGGGTTCTCCCTTTGTTATGTGACGGTGATCTATTTGCCCAATACCAGCACTAAACATGATTGGCTTCAACCATTCCCTCCTCTCACCACTTGGTAGTCTCATTCCAAAAGTTCGAGTATAACCCTGGATCAAGGGCTCCCCAAACTTATTCCCATAGTCTGATGCTCCATTACTAGCATCAATGAGAATCTGTAATGGTGATGCCAAGTTTGCTGGGTATGTGAAAGAAGGATCTTCCCAGGGAGCATATGACCCTTCAATGTTAAGATTTCCAACACAATATCCAGCTGTAGATGCAACAACAAAAGAACCCCTTCCAGTAGCATGGGTATCCCGGATCCGGCCTCCTGCACCTGTCTCAGCACCAGGATAAGGTGCCACAGCACAAGGGAAATTATGCGTTTCCGCTGTAAACAAGACATCAAGGTCAGTAGTAACCGTGTCCAAAGGGCATGTCGAACCAGGCTGAATAGGTCGCAATTGCTTCACTGGAAACCCCTTGATAGCACTGGAATTATCTTTGAATCCAATAACTGAATTGTTTGGATTTGCAAGCAAAGTGCTTTTGACAATCTGCATAAGAGTCTTATCCATAGGTTGACCATCTATAACAAGCTTTCCTGTAAAGAACCAGTGCCTACTATGTTCACTATTAGATTGAGCAATATCAAATAGTTCTACATTCGTCGGGTTTCGCTTAATGTCGTCCCTGAAAAGTTTGGTGTAGTACTGTAAGTCTTGCTCATCAAAGGCCAAGCCCATTTCCTCATTAATTTCTTCCAATGCCTTGCGACCCTTTTCCATGACTGGTATATATCGAACCTCCTCCGGAACTATGCTTGTCTTGAAAGAAGTAAGCTTCTCAACATAAATACACTCCGTCATTCGATCATGAACCATTGAAGCAAACTCATTAATTTGACTATCTAAAAGTGACCCCTTGACATATAATAAGTACCTCCTAGAGCGCTCCATTCTGTTTATCTCTGTTAGCCCGCATGCTTGGCAAATCGACACTGCATTAGCAGACCACGCTGTAGTGAAAGATAACCGTGGACCAACTTCAATGATATATGCATCTGGAAGTTCCCTCTGCTCTCTGTCAAGGAAACTCTCACTTCCCAAGCTCTCAGGTTCATAAGTTTCTCCTAAAAGCCATTTAAGCACAGAAAATTTATCACTTGAAAGATCTGATTTGAGTCCAATGTTGAAGCATTGTTCAGTTTTCAAGCCAATTATTTGATTAGAGATCTTTGTCTGAACCAACTTGAGAAGCTCAGCTGTGGCACTGTCTTGTAGAAACGGAACACGGTATAAATGTATCAGCTTTTCAGCAGCCTCCTGAACTTTGCCTGAATCTTCATCCACCAAGCTACTGACATTCCCTGAAACCACAGCTCTAATCTTTGCCGGAATATGGGACCTGAGTCTCAATTTTTTATGTGAATACCCAACAGGTTTCTGTCTTGGAAGTGTACCCCAAAGCAAAAGATTTGTCTGCTTACTAGAATGTCTAGGCAATGCTAGCTTTTGTCTATGTAAACCCTGCAATACAAAATAAATCAATGTTAACAGTTTTCTCAACATCATTGACACAACATATTCTTGAAAAAAATTTCAGTAATGATCATACTTGAAAGAATTCTGTTGCAGCAATGTCCCAAGCAGATGTAGCCATTGCCAAAACCTGCTGCTGCAATAAGTAAGAGGAGAATAAAATATCTTTCAGATAAACAAAATACCGGAGCCTACAATAGCAATCAAAAAGAAATTAGAAAAATTAGCAAGATAGATTTTTGGGGTCAGAAACAATCTCAACTTCTCACAAACTAACAGACTATATATATTAGCTAAAGAAAAAATACAAAAACCCAAGAAAACTTCAAATTAAATACCCCACACAAGAACACTTCTTGCTACAAAGGAGTTGCCTTTAACCCAGTTTTTGACTCTTCTTCAAAAAACAAATACACCCAAATGCTTTTTTAGCATAAAAAATTGGTGTACACACCAGTTTTGTATGCTAAAAATCAAAACTTGAAATAAAAATTTAATCTTTCTCCACCAAGTTTCAGCATAAAATAAAAAGATACAATTTTTATAGCAAGAGAATACCTTTCAGTTGTGGCTCAACCAATATCAGCTAAAATTCTTGGCAAATTGATAGTGAAAAAGGGAAGAGAGACATAAATTTCAATGGTAGGAGGAGCAAGACCAGTGATAGTGCTTGGGCTTTTGGACAAAAACCCTAGTACCCAGATATTTCTTTTTCCTTTTTTTTTTTACTTTAATTATTTATTTTATTTTCTAAGAATAAATGATTAATTGAAAATTCATTAGCTTTAGGGCTGATTTGACACAGTTTATAATTGACTCGACTTAGCCAACATTAGATGATTGTTAAATGGCTAGATTTTATTTTTTCAAATACTATAGTTTTGTTTATTAAGATACTTTTTCTCTTCTAATTTGCGGAAAATATTATATGATAGGTGAAATTCCATTATGAAAGCCCGATAAAATACTCTTCATGACTGACAGATCACATAAATAGATAGTACTAATAGTTAGGTGTAGCTCTATGTAGTCATGTAGTAAGGGGTGATCAGTTGAACACCTTTTATTTACAAATTATATTAAATATAACAAATTATACGAAGTATAGTAGTCAAAAATTATTTTTTATTTGTAAACATTAAATCTTGAATATTCTTGACGAAATTTCTGACTTCGTTGTTGAATAATGTCATTTTTTTAAGGGAAAAGGCTCAAATATGCCATCGAACTTTCAGAAAAGGCTCATTTATGCCATCCGTTAAAAGTTTGGCTCATTTATGCCATTACCGTTTAAGAAAAGGCTCATTCATGCCATTATTTTTTAACGGTGGTTTTGCAAAACCATTTTTTACACGTGGCCAATTATAATTCGGCCACGTCATTATTTTTTTAATAATAAAAATTCAAAATTCTGAACAAACATTTTTTGCAAAATCATTTTTTACACGTGGCCAATTATAATTCGGCCACGTCATTATTTTTTTAATAATAAAAATTCAAAATTCTGAACAAACATTTTTTGCAAAATCATTTTTTACACGTGGCCAATTATAATTCGGCCACGTCATTATTTTTTTAATAATAAAAATTCAAAATTCTGAACAAACATTTTTTGCAAAATCATTTTTTACACGTGGCCAATTATAATTCGGCCACGTCATTATTTTTTTAATAATAAAAATTCAAAATTCTGAACAAACATTTTTTGCAAAATCATTTTTTACACGTGGCCAATTATAATTCGGCCACGTCATTATTTTTTTA